GCAGTTCGCGAAACAGTGCTACACATATGTACATATCCCTCATGATTTCCCGCCAGTACACCCATCAAGTAGTCACATTCCCAAAATTCCTCTAAAACACAGTCGCAGTCAAAATTGTTGGGACGTTTTTGTGTCTTCTTCTCCTCTCAATGTTGGTGTACACGATTTGCCGACTGAATCGCAATAAACGACATTGGGAGGGAAAAGGAAAGCACGGGAAAGGAAAAAAAGGGGTTTGCGTTAAGTGTCCCGACCATTTTTGTCTGGGACTGTAGCTAAAGTTGTTTTGTCTGGATATTCTTCTTTACAAACTATTTGGATTTTACTAAAACAATAATTCCTCTCGCTCTCACGGCCTCCGAGTCAATAGCTGACTCAGAGCCCATTCGAGCTCGAGGAATAATTGTTCAATATTTTGGCCACTGGCGACATATAAAGCAAAGCAGCCTGTTTGAAAACCTCTCTAACCTTCTCTTTTGATTTGTTTCCTCTTTTGTGCGTAACGAGTAGCAGTTTGCTCGAATTGTCAAAATTGACCACGATTCTACTTCCACAATACAAATGCAGTGGATAAGTGACTGTAGCGTAGTAAGAAACCTCTAATGGCGAACCATAATTCAGCTGACAATTGAGCTTATCCTTCACAAAACCACTACAGCTAATATGGTATCCTCTACGGCTGACATATACCGTATTTCCTCGAATGGTAGCCGGGGGCGATTATTAATTTTTTCGCGCCAAAAGAGGACGATTATTCGAGGGAGGCGAGTATCTCGAACTCTCAAACGAAGAAAAACAGTTCGCGTTAGCGGGGAATTCAAATTATCGGGGTAAATTTCAGTGAAATTTGGATCAAGGGAAAGGAAATTTAGTTCGCGTTAGCGGGGAATTCGAGTAATCCGAGTTCGAGTTATCGAGGTTCTACTCTATTTTAAATTTTTCCGCCAAAGCGAGGCGATTATTCGAGGAAGGTGATTAATCAAGGCTGGGCGCTTATTTGAATAAATGCTTATATCGTCTCCTCGCGCTTTGAAACATCAAAAGCCAGGGAAGAGCGCCCTGGGAACGACGTTGGAGTGTTTTACAGAAACCTTGCTTTGTTACATCTTCGCGTTTTGTTATTACCATTTATTATTTTGTTGCATAATAAACATACTACACTTGTTTAAATGGTAAAAAATGTAACAAGCGCCCAGCCTCGAATAAGCGCCCACTCTCAAGGTCCAAAAATTTAATAAGCGGGCGCTTCATCGAATAAATACGGTATTTATCTTAACCTTTAGCAAAGTCAACATTTTTTGAAGATCAACAGAAACATAAGATTGTCTTAATTGTGGCATATTACAAGATAAACATTAACTGAAGATTTCACTTTCTTGATCATCATAGTCATAAATGATTTTTATAAAACGATTATATTTGTTACTAATAACAAAATCCTGCTTTGGTCTTCGGCAGTATTTAGGCAAACATTTGTTTACATTTTATGCCTCATTAGTATATTAAAAACCTCGTCATCCTCAATTTCAAGCTACGAAGAGAATATCAACTCTTAAATAATAAAATAACGTTTTTTTTTTCAATAAATGAATGGAATGGCTCGATAAGGCCTTTTTTGCCAACCGGTGATTTTTGCTAACACAAAGGCGCTAAAAAAATTTTTAAAAAAATAAAAAAAAATACAGAATACTAAATTTTATACCCAGCTCTTTCAACCTTCTAAGACAAACTAACGGACTTACCGTAAAGTAAACCCTCCGCACGGCCGATAATTTGCATGCAAACGAACCGATGCCCAAACAATATGGCACAAGAAAGAGTGGGTGGGTAAATCAGTTTTAACAACAAAAGTTTTGTTCTTGTGAATAAGTAATACTATTCCCTGATGATGCAATCAAATACTTCCTCTGAGGGTATCTTTTTATGGGACACATTTTTAAAATAGCAACTCAGGGAATTCCCCGCATTCCCGCAATAAAAATTACCACACGTTGAAAGCAAAATTGTACTGTTACCTATCTTTGACATTTGTCTTCTGAAACAGTCTGTTGACTCAGTTTCAAAACCATTCGTGTCAGTTCAATAAAAATAATCATAATCATAATAATAGTAGTAATAATAATAGTAATAATAATAATAATATGCCCTCCATTGTTAAAGTTTTCAGAGGGCACAAGAAACCCCGAATATTGAATAAAGTGAGATGAATATTTTTATTTGTTACGTTTTAATTTTTCATATTTACTCAGAAAAAACTAAGAGGAAACAATCTAAACTAAGAGTCTTAATTGCGCACGAGAAAAAAAAATCATTATTCTTTGAAAACATACAAATTACAAATTAGATGCGATTAGATTTCTCTACCGCTATTTTATAACATTTGTAAATCACAAATGATTCTACAAGTAAACATTGATGCGATGATAAGTAATATATCAAACATGAGATGCAGTGTTTCATCACCAGATGAAACACCGAGAAGAGAGTTGAAAATACGACGCGCGGCGGAGTATTTTTGACGAACTCATTTTTGAAGGAGAAATTAAGGATGCAAATACTAAGCAGTGTTTCATCCGATTTCCAAACACTCATTAAACATTAATTTCCTTTGTATTTTCTTAATGAATTATTAATGAGTTTGAGAACACAACTTGAAGAACCATTTTTACTCTGTTTTTAATTTGAATCTACAAACCCTCGCGGAGGTACAGAGAAATAAGAAACTACTGCACATACTTTGTTCACATTTATTTTTTGAAAAGGCAATAATCATTGAGATATCACAATTCTTACCCTCCCACCCCACCCATATAAGCACCTATAGCCAAATACTACTCTCTGAAGACTATAAAAAGTTGTAATAAGCAAATCAATAAAGGAAATAAAATTGTCACTATTAGGACAATAACTTTACAATATTTAAATACATCTCTGATAAAAAGTAGACATGTCTCAAGGTTACAAGTCATAGACATAGGAATTCTCTCGAAATTGTACATTAAAAAAGAAATAAAAAAGAGGCTGCAAGATGACCTCATTTAAGATTAACTCTTAATCATTCCGAAACTTGAGTTTCTTGGTGTTCTGTTCAACAGGAAAATCTCATACTGACAATAACTTACCGAAGCAATATTTTCTTAACATTCTGTACAAAGATAATTACATCGAAGGAGACTTAACTTTAAGAATCACTTGTCTTTGTTTCGAAAACGCAGACCATTTTTGTGCACCACAAAGTTTCGAATAACGCTTCACAGATCTGGGTCATACTTCTTATAAATGACCGGCTAACTTGTGCTCCGAGTATCAACATGGAAATGGAAAGTTCTGATATGTTTCCTTTTTTTAACTACCTTGTACCAAGGATTTCCCTTCTAAGGATGCAAAGAAGAGTGGCGCGGAACGAGTTTGACGAACTTATAGTACAAGGAGAAAACCTTTTGAAATCGTGTAAAGCAAATCCTTGAATTAGGTTCCACAAATGTTACTCAAGATCATCCGATCTTCACAATAATTTGACAAAGGTCGTCAATAAAAAAACACATTCTGACTGAGTTTTTTTGAAGGCATCATTGTTAAAAATATCTGAAAAACACTGTTTTCCATCCTGAACTTGGAGAAGACTCCATTTTTACAAAATTCAAACCTTGATGGTTTTTAAGTCCGTGAAAGACTTCTTAAGGCTAAATTTTTAATTAAAGGAAAGAGGGTTGAAAATTTAGCCCAAAAGTCTGGAAAATTTGCATTTGAAAAGATAACCGATGAGAAATAGTATGCAGTACTTGGTTTGAAAAAAGCGTAAAACAAGACCTTAGAACTTCAAAAACGGATAACTTAAAGGAAGACATCCCTAAAAGCAAATAATTTAGATCCCTAACTTTTGCCTAGAGATTTCATTTAGGCCGGAACACTGAGCTCAAGGCGATCCTTCCCATTTTGCAGGGAGTTCTGTCACAATACCACTTGCCCACAGCTTGAACGGATGGCACATCGTCAGAGTTGCAGCACTAAAGTTCTGTATCGTTAGTGATTCATGGTAACTGTGTGACTTCATCGTAGAAACGAACCTTATGACGTCCTCTTACTGGTAATTTCGGTTCCTTTGAAAATATAATAGGAAAAAAAAATGCGTCAAAACTGAAATAGCATTCGTGATTCATTCATGCCACTTTCATTTCAAAGTAGTCTGCTACACAGCGTTTTTAGTGTTGTCACGCAACGCCCCTCCCCACTAACAGTTTTAATGGGGATGAGCGTTGCGTGACGACACTAAAAACGGCTGTGTAGCAGACTAATTTCAAAGTAGAGAAGGTGAAATGTGTTATGATACAAATAGAGCAAAAAGACAGTTAGGATAGACCTGTTTAGCTTGTACGTTTTGTTTCTCAAAGTGTAGGTAATGTGATAAGTAACAAACATTCCACGAGTGCGCGTTGGATATGAGTTGGCCATGGTCTTCTCATATCCAACAAGCGCGAGTGGAATAATTGTTTAAATAAACACGCCCAAAAAATATCAAGAATTCTTCCCGACTTTACCAGAGCTCTAGAATTTCATTATCAAATGATTCAGTTTTTAATAATGCTAGATAGAGAACTGTTTCATACAAATTTCGTATTATAGAAAGGAGAAGTGTGACGTTACGTTACCATGGTAGCAAAATTTCTGGATTTTTAGTCAACAGTCTTTCTTGACAGAGAAGGTCATTTGTATTGTCAAACAATGAAAGAAAAGTTCAGTGGATGGGTTACCATACTTGCAGGACCACCGTTTTTTTTTAGATCCAGATATTTAATCTTGCTACCATGTTCTTGTATACGCATAATTTATGAAAAGACAAAGGCGCAAATTCCCCTCAGACCTTTTATTGTGAAAACAAAACAGACAAGCTAAAGAGGTCTATTGAGCAATGCACACAGGCCTATAAGAAGTTCTACCCTGTTACAAAACATTTTTGTTGTCTACACTCGTATAATACCATGGAAATGGCGTCGAAATATTCAAAACTCAAGTAGATCCACAGGCGAGATCAATGTTTCGCTGCGAAGTTTTGAAGACTTCACGACACTTTTATGGTCTGTTAGAGTATGGTCAATAGAAAGTTGTTGACTATTTGTGCTTTCCACAACAGTGAAAGTTCTAAGCGCCCATTTCCGGCAAAGTTTCCTGGCAAAACTAGCCTGCAGCTTAGCCACTATCTTAACGAGTCTTTCAGGCGAGCGAAGACAAGCGCATGGCGGACGTATAGCGCGAGACACGCGCGACAAAAGAAGGCGAGTTTCTCGCGCTCCACGCCCAAACATAACGCCTGTTCTGGAGGCTTTGGTGGCGCACACGGGAGTATACTCCATCCTGGAGAACACAACTCGACCAATGAGCGACCGAGAAATCAGTCAGTTATTTTAAAAGAGATCTTACATAACCAATAGTAGTAGGGAAAAAAATGACACGTCAAAGGGGCTATGTAACGAGGATATTTGACAATTATTCCTCGAGCCCGAATGGCCTCTGAGTCAATAGCCTGTGAGGCCGAAGGCCAAATGGGCTATTGACTCAGAGGTCATGAGGGCGAGAGGAATAATTGTTTTAGTAAAAACCAACTAGTTGGTCAAAAATATCGAGAATAAAAAATCCTTTTTTGCCGCCAAAAAGCCAGGCGCTGTTCGCTACCAGTGGGCTATAACATATAGCCTAGTAGTAGCTCAACCAATCAGAAGGCAGCATTGATAATAGACCACTAGTTGGTTAATGCTACTTTAGCTTAATTCTGTGCTGAAGTTATTACTTAGTGCCTTTAGCCATATACAAAAAGCTCCTGTTGAGTTATGAAATTAGAGAGTTTTAAAAGCTTCACGTATACGGCAAATTCAAGTTGAGAATTTCTCAAAAAAGAAAGTAAGCGACTCAAAACAATCATTACGGATAAGAAATTGCGTGAAACTACTTATTTATGTGTGGAAATAATGAACAGTAAACGACGTACAAGTGAAGAGGAAACTTGTTCACGTGGTACAAATTCGCGTTTGCCGTTTGACGTAAACGTGATGTTTAACCTCTCTAACACTAAACTGTTAATAACCAAAGGTTACAGAGTGTGGGCGACAACGATCGAAGGTCAAAACGCTTTGCTCCAACGCTGTGCTTTGCGTAAGTTTCACGTGACAAATGGTCAAAACAAGCGTGATCAGATTACAAGTGATAGAAGGTCCAAACGCGCGTGATCTTGCGTTCTGTGTATTCCATTCATTCTTAGTGGAAGTTCAAACTAATGCTGGCTACACACATGCAACGCATGCGTAGTAACAACCTGGAGATTAGGATTGCGGGCTCCTCTTGTGGCCCGCAACAAATTTCATAAACAGCACTAACAATAACAACTTGTTTTCGTGATTTTTGCAGGCGTAGCATTTAAACTTGAAAAAGTTGGCCAAACGTTTTCAAGTTTCAATCCACGTCCATCCTTGCCATCCATTGCAACAGACGACAGGAAAGAGTTTCAATGCCCAAAATTAATATAGTCTTCAATAACAAAACTCGGCCAAATTTTTTACAATTCAGTTGACGCGAATACAGGTTTTAGCTCTTTAAAAAAATAGCAAATAGAGTGTTATAGCCCGGCTCTTTAACATAAGCCTCTTTGGGATTTTGTAATACAGCCTGCTTGTCATAAATTGTACCTCTGTATGACGTTCTAAACCCCTTTGTGTAATGTAGTCTCTTTGTACTGATCTTATACTGTCAATAACTTCTTTGTCAACATCCTGTGAGAAAGAACAAACACACAAAGAAACAAATAGGAATTATCAGGAGACAATAATAACAAAAAGCAGCTTGTTGTTAGTGGTAATTGATCAAGGACTTGCAATTCACAAAATAATGACCAAAACACTAGCGTAAATTAATCCATTGACTAGTATGACAATACTCAGTCGTATTTTATTTTCCACTACAAATTTAAGAAATGGAAATGCTGCCAGTTTTTTTCTCTATCTGAAAAACACTCAGAAACTACCAGTTCAAAAAACAAGACAAACGAATTCTGCTTAACTGTCAAAGTTAACTACATATAAATGACTGTTTCACATCATTGTCCATATTTGTCATGGCACGTGGCGCAAATATTAAGTATTTCTATTGATAATACAGCGGTGTTTAGCTCGAAAGCTAAGCGCCTCTGACCACCGTACACTTCTACCAAAGCCATTAATGTCTTTCTTTTCTTTTTTTCTCTTATTTGTTATTTCATTCCTCCGTTACTATATACAGTGTAAATATTATATACAAGTGTGATTTAACTGAACTAAATGGCGGTATATAGACTACGAGTAGTCCTCCATTTTTCCTCAGGGATATTAGAGCGAGCGAAATGCGAGCGCGCGTGAAAATCACCCCACGCGAGAAAAGGCGACACGCGGCGGGGAGAGGGAAAAATGAGGGACTACAGACAAAGCCCAAGGTTTTGACCCTTCACGGCCGACTGATTTTGGACTGTGAAGTTCGTATCCCCTTCCAAATCGATTAAGCGCATCCAATGGGATTCCTTCCCTCATTCGTCAAGTGGCTCTCTCCCCGCCGCGTGTCGCCTTTTCTCGCGTGGGGTGATTTTCACGCGCGCTCGGGTTTCGCTCGCTTTAATATCCCTGAGGAAAAATGGGGGACTACTCGTAGTCTAGGTGGTATAGGCCATTTCCGAGTTCCAAAAACTCTCACTTTCAAAACGAGGCTAAGTGCGAAACCTTTCTTGTGATAATGAGTTTCATTTACATCAGAAGAAAAAAACTTTTCGTACCAATGGTTTCGCACTTAGTAGAGGCTTGGGGAAACTTAACCTGCGATCAGATTTTTTTTTAAGAGCGTGCGAGGCGAGAGAGACATATAAATTATAGGGATAATAGAAAGAGGGCTTGATCTCAGGCTTAGGGAAACTCGGAAATGACCTCAAAAATGCAAAAAAAACGACAGCAAACCTCTAAAGAGCTGAATGATGCTTCACTTTCGCTCTTCATCTGTTGTTGAGCAGTTACTAATCTGAAGATTGAAAAAATAACAATCAAATCATCCCAATTATTCATTCAAAATACTTATCCGTTTCTGTCTGGCTTAATCCAGGCTTGATTCAATTCTCTGTGTAATTCTAGGAAATATCCATACCCCACCGCGGAGGGAATTGGAAATTCCGTGGGGCTGCGGGGGTCAGAGGCCCAGGAAATTCCAGAGGGGAGGGGAGTTGGACGATTAACTCACTTTACAGGGGTTAATTTCGTTTCATTTTCGACCTTTACACTTTGAAAATTGCTAATTAGCGACCTGGTAAATCGTTCTTTAATTTTTCATATCCAGCTAGAACTGACCAAATACAATGATTCGATGTTGTGAATGCACAAAAATGTCCCTCAAAGTATGACTTTTATTTATCGTGATTGTCAACACCACGGTACTCTACCAAGGCTACGTTCTGGAATGAATTCAGTAAAAGCCTGAAATGGTCTGCCACAATCAGGCTGGGAAATTTGAAAAACCACTCTAATCGTAGGATTCATGATTCTTCTTTCCTGCACATTCAGACTGCTAAAACAGTAACAACTTACTTTTGTAATGTAAACAGTGTCCCTGTGATATGCTTACATCTGCTAACTAAGTTCTCCAGTTTGTTTGGTTCTTCTTTCAGAAATCTGAAGAGAGATAGCAGATATAGCGTTTTACCTCAGAGTTCTAAAAAAAAAATAAGTGTCTCCTGGTATAAATTCTAAAGAATGAAGCATTAATTATGTGGCTTTTTTGAGGTTCTTAACCTTGTAAGCTCCAATATCCGTAAACAAATTCTCTAGCCTGTCATCCATACATTTCTTTAAAGAATTAGTTGAGAGAATTTGACAAAAGATCAAAGAATTTTCCCCCATGTGAATCATTTAATTAATTCTTATAACCTTTTTTCTTGATATAGTTTTAATATTGGCAGGAGAAAATTCATGTTGATCACATTTATTTCAGTGAACACTCACTTGTCTCCCTGAACTATGATCTCCAATTCTGATGCCATGTTTGACTTCATTCTATCATGCAGTTCCGCAAACTCACCTGAAAAAGGCGATTAAAATAACTTGAGTATTTCAGGATATAAAAACTACAACCAAAATGGCCTGACAGGATACAACAGGGTTCGTACAGTTTTTTGGACCCAAAATTCTAGACTTTTTCCAGACTTTTTTCCAAATCAATAATTTCTTTGTCCAGACCCAAGGTTATCAAATTAATAGGTAATCAACTGAAACCTTAAAAACACAGGAACAAAGTTTTTTTTTTATGAAGTGCTGCAAACGTACGGGTGAGATTAAATAAGATTCGACCAAAGCAAAAAAAACTTTCACTTATAAAGCACTTGTTGCAGCTTCAAAAAAAACCTCAAGACTTTTTTACCATTTTTCAAGACTCTACCTCTATTTTCCAGACTTTTTCCAGGTCTGGCAAATTTCAAGACTTTTTCAAGAATTAAAGACTCTGTACGAACCCTGTTACAATCAAAAGTGGCTTGGAAAATGTTGGCCCGCACACACTGTGCTGAAAGCAGACATCCATGATCTTGGCATGGTAGTAAAGTAAAAGAGCAACATTCATTATCATTACATGGTTGCGAGGAAGCAAATTCTGTTTTCTAAGTGGCTAACCGAGGACTATGCAAGCTGGCAAGACATGTCCGTCTTGTCCACTTGGAATTTTCCATTTTGTTCCCATAAAAAAAAAAAAAATTCTTTTGGGCCATATAATAAATCCCGTATAAAAAAGGTGTTTGGTCAAGATGGCTGAATGTTGACCTTGTTCATTTTTTATGGACCAAAACTAAGAACTTAGGGCCAGACACCTTACCTTGAACACACTTGGCCATCAATGCATAATAGTTACTTATCATCTAAGATGTTACCTTTTCATTCCCTTTAGAGTGTGTTATTTAGCTTATGGTACAGACGAATGGCAATAATGAAGTTTGAACTTACCCTTGAGATCAGACACTTGACGGCTTATGATTGACAGCTGGCTGTTAAGACTGTCAACCTCCGCAGGATTGGCAATACATCTTTTCTGTACAACATCCAGACGAACCATCTCTACTTCACTCTCCAGCTCACTGGAAATAAAAATTAGAAATTTAAGTTTATGAGCAGGCCCAGTGCCAGTGATACTGATGTCCAGGTGAAAAAGTGACAAGACATTTTGAATGATCTTAAAAATTAAGGTATATAACTCTTGCTGGTAATTCTTTTTAACTCATGACCAAAATAATGATACTTTCACAGGTATTGATACAAGTTTAAACGTCTTGCAAAACTCATGGTAACACAAATGCAGCACAAATAAAATCTCTATCCTCATCACAGTTTGTTCTTTAATCAAGAAGCTTTTTATCTTGCAGTCCATAGTTTTTCCTGCACGATAAGCAAAACCTCTGAGGATATTTTTGTTGGGCTATGTTGCTAAATAACATTATCTTATTCTGTATGTTTTTAAATCATATGTCAGCATCAGACACTGATGATATTCAACTTTTGCTTAGATCACAGTCTTACTTCAAGCATGTTGGCTGATACATAATTTTTCATTCACAAATTTTTAATAATAAATACACCTGTATGAAAATCAATCATGTAAATCATAAACAGAGAACTGATGTGTAAACAAACACAAACTTTCAGCTTCCATGAATGATAAAAGAAAGTTTCAGTTTGCATAGTTTAACCTAGGCAGCAGCGGTGTTTTTTTCCAGTGTCATACCTTATATGTCTGTTAATATCATTCTTGGTTTTTACATAAGCCATCTCCTCCATCTGTACCTTCTCTTTCACTGATTTTGAAGAAGGATCTACAAGTAAAATATTACAGTCAAAACTGTATTAAGCGATCACCTTTTCTGAGGCCCCAAAGAGTTATTTCTTAGTTTCTTCACCTGTACTAAACGGTCACTTCGACAAGATGTACCATACTAGTGCAACAGAAAGACTGTGCAAGGGGTTTAGCGGTCTTTTACTGTTTTTCTTGTGGTACAAGTGGAGATAGAAACAGGCCAAAAAGGTGTCGGATAGATATCTCGCTCTTTCACCTCAGATCCCCATTTCCTTAAAATTAATAACCCTTACATATTTAGGTATGTGAAACCTGTATTAAGGGGGTCAGCAAGCCATTCCTCAAGGGTGACTGCTTAGTACAGGTTTGAATGTACAACAGTTAGAGCGATTTTCGAATGGCCTTGGAAAAAGGTTTCAGTATTAAAGTTTTCGTTTTTTGTTTTACCAGCCAATCGATGACAGGATCAAAACATGCTGTCTTCCTTTTCCCACCAAAGAAAACCCTAATATGGAGAAGTCATTGTTCAATAGGCCAATCGTGTTGCAGTATGATGTCAAAGCGAAGTATTGGTTGATTTCTAGAAAGTTCTCGGGCATGAAGTTTTGTCACCCAAGCGATCACTTAACCAATTAAAAGCCAAGTGCATTTGTATCCGTTCAATAAACCAATTAATTCGCTCTATTTCTCTTTGTTTGTTGTTTCTGTTTTGTTTGTGCATTTCCATTTCAAGGTCATACTAAAATCACTCTATCCACAAGTGCTTGCTTGTGAAACCAAGGACATTCCAGCATCAGTAAATGAGACCCTGGGGACTTTTCCAAGTACCTCTAACTTCAAGAGACCTTTTGTAATCGATATTCTTAATTTGTATTTCAAACCACATGATGCCCTCAAGAGAATTTTTCTTTCTTTCCTTTCTGGTGAAAATCACTGGGAGAAATGTGAAAGGAGTGGAAAAAAGATGGCATGTGGCCTGAGATGGAAAACAAACAAACCAAGCATAAAGAGACAATTGGGTAGCCTGAGAAAACAAAGGACTTTCGCGACGCCACCACTGGTTTGCCCACAAAATGACAACTGAGAATCAAGTGCAGAAATTCCATACTGATGACGCTCCAATTCCTACAACTGGGTAGTGCTTCTGATTGGTCATGCCATGTGGGAAACCAGATCTGGGTAGCGTTGCATGATCAGTATGGAATTTCTGCACTCATTTCGCAACGTCATTTCACAGAGAAGCCAGTGGTGGCAGCATGAAATGTCAGCTGTTTACTCAGGCTAACAATTGGGAAATATAGAGTTGGCCTTGCATTTGGTTGCCATGACAGCCACTGATAATAGGAAACTTTCATGTTAAAACATTGTGTTCATTATGGCAGTCACATGCCCACCATCCAAGGTGTTTACAACTGGGTGTTAGATATTAATATAAATTTTTATGTTATGCATGCTCAGAGAGAAGATTATGATTCATTCCTGATCATCAATCAAGTGATATCAGGTCTGCGAAGTTCTACATGTATTCATCACTGCATGCAAATGAAGAAACTCCTCAGACCTCCAAAAACTCTTTCTTAAAACTCATCAACATTTCATGAGGTGAAAACAAAGGAGGCACAGGAGCAGTTTAAAAATCATATCCACTTATTACACACTCAGGTGTGGGATTGCAGAAAAACAGCTCAAGCTCATTTTCATCTTATCAAATAACAAAAGAATTACAGCACATTGTACTCACTATCTGTCTTCTCATTGGCTAACTGCCTACAGCTAATTTCGGAAATCAGTGTAACCTACAGATAAGTTACTTATCTGCTAGCAGATAACTGACTAATCAGTAGGTTGCGCGCAAAATAAATAATTTCCAATAACAATATCAATTCAGGTTCCTTGTGAAATTGAGACAGTGTGTTTGTCGTAATTTTCTTCAAAACAATGTAAACGTTTGTTGAAGAATAAATTATAGCACACTCATGACAAACACCCTCCCCTGATTTGGTCCTTTTGTTTATTTTAAGTAAATTTGTTATATTTGTTTTATAACAGCTTACGATTCATCAAAAATATATATACGTATACCAACACTATTTAACCATTGATTCAGTGTTAAGTAAAATCAGTAGTATGGGTGAACTCTTGTTATAACCTCCATAGCAAGAGCAAAAATAAGGGTTGCCAAAGGATAAGCAATGCATGTGAGGAAATTAAGCACCAGCCAGAAAGATGTCCATCTTCTTCACCTTTTGGGTGCCACTTTTCTTTACAATTAATATTTATTATTGTGTCTACTCAATGTACAAGCTACTCTTCTTACCATTCTGTGTTCGTGTCAAGTGATGCACTATTTGCTCTTTAGCATTTCTGATCATCTCTCCAAATTGCTCTGCTTGAAAGGTCTGAAACTGCTTTAGTTGATTAAGTTCAGCTCTTAACATCCTCATTTCCCCACGGAGTGTGGATGCTCGGATCTCAAGCGTCTTTCTCTCTTTCATGTTACCTTCAACAAAATAAAGCGTAGTATATGATTATTGTTAGTTGTTCTGGGACAAAAATAATGGCTACATATGCAAGAAGCAACTGCTGGTATTGATTCAATGTACAATTGATGTGAATAGGATTTTATAGTCAAGCCTGGTCAAGCATACTCTCCAGGATTCCATTAATGAATTTATTGTTCAAAAGGTGAATCCTTTCACTGTTGCTGCAACTAGTGTCAAATTCACATCTCCATTCATGCATGCATAATGACCAGTGAATTTTTACGATAACTTATCTGTATTTGGTGCAGTTGAAATTTCATTAAATGTGTAGTTCCAGAAAATATCCAGACCCCCACCACGGAGGGAATTGGAAATTCCAGGGGGGTGGGGGGGTCAGAGGCCCAGGAAATTCCAGAAGGGAGGGGGGTTGGACCATAAAATCACTTTCCAGGGGGGCAATATCATTTTGTTTTCGACCTGAGATCGAACATTGCTTCTTACCGACCTGATAGATCATTTTTAGGACATAAATAACTTGACATATATCACTTAAGATTGTTCCTTTTTTATCTTAACCAGGTTTCCTCTCTTCCAAAAGCGTTTTGGATGTAATTTCAAAGGAATTAGACCGACTACAATTCGTGTTATCGCATGCTCGTATATTTGGCCGCCATTACTCGTTACCAGTCTTCCCCAACACATCAACGCATGCAACACATCACGCAACACAACACGTTGCGTCAGTCGATCGATAGATCAGAAGAGTGGCTATTTTGCCTCACGAAGCACAAGCCATACATTGTAACCATTTTAGAATGAAGAGTTTTTATTCTCCTTTTCATTTTCCCTTAATTTTGTGGTTGAACGTGTGGCATGTTCATGATCGAATTCTCGCTGAAATAGTGTTGATTTCACCAAACATTTATACGGCCATCGCGCATCACGTCGCATCAGTCATCGAAAAACAGTAAATTGGACTTGGTTTCCCTTCAAGTATCTTCAAGATGCAGGGGGTATTCATTGTTATCATTTCAGAATTCAGAGTTTTTATTCTCCTCTTTGCTTTGCATTAATTTTGTGGTCGTAAGTTTGACTTGCTCTGCATTCCCGCACGAAATGGCATTAATTCTATCAACATTACGCCCATGAGACGAATAACAAATCTAAGCTTGCCCTGATTAAGGTAAATTCACAAATATAACCGACTTATTAACTTTCTCTGTTTCATTTAAAGTAAGAGATGGCCAAAAATTACAGATCAGGTTACTTTGTGCTGGTGTAGTGTGTTTTAATGTTGCGAGATCACTCAAATAAATGGAAACAGAAGCATGCAAGCTTCTGATGGAAACCGTTGGGTACTAACCATACGTTGCCTCATTCTTCTAGTTTAATAGTCTTTCTTCGTGAAAATGAACTTTTCCAGAGGGGTTGGGGGGTCTTTGTCACACTTGTGGAAATTCCGAAGGGGTGGGGGGTCATCAGTTCCCTGCAAAAATGGAAAATCCAGGGAGGTGGGGGGGTCCTAAGTGAAATTCCCTCCGTGGTGGGGGTCTGGATATTTTCTGGAACTACACAATGGACAAAATGATACTTTGAAGACATTTACATCAGAATTCATGATCACAAAATCTGAGCTTCATAACTACTTTGCATGTGAATTCACTGCTTATTGTGCACACATGTACAGGAATGCAGAGATGAAAACTACTACTACAACAGTACTAATTTCACATTTTGTCAAGGACAGGAACACAAGACAACAACTTTCCTTTTCTTTTCCTGAACTTTTTGATACAGTCCTTTAGAATTCAACTCCAGAAAAATTCACCAACATTTGACCAATTGTACGAAATGGAATAAGTGCGATAGACTTTGAGGAAGCGCAAATTCGCTCTTTAAGTGACGATTTTGTAGCCATCGCCGTTTATTTTTCAAGATTTATTCACCAACAAATCGTGGCTTGGACCAACAAAAACAACAATGATTGCATAGAAACGAATCAGAACCAGCTTTTCCAAATCAGACCAAACAATGCCCTCTACACAATCCAAACATCATAAAAAACAAACCTTCATATTTGACAGAGGCATGGCTTCCAGAAGTAGAGGAACTACTCGATGACAAAGGTGTTGGGCTGTCTGTTAATGATCGTTTTGGCTTTGATGACGGCAATGGAAGTGTTTGTGTGTGGTACTGCTGACTGATGTCTCGTTTAGCTCCTCTGGGAGAATCTCGTTGCAGTGTCTGACTATATTTCAAAGATGACTCTCTGGATACTGTATGACTAGATGCTCTGGGGGGAGGGGCGGGAATGTGTTTGGGTTTACCTGTGGAGTGGTGCAATAAAACTGAGCAACATAATCAAACTCTGCCTCATTAACAGATGACAATATGCACTATGCAGTAGACCATTGTATAAGATTTAAGCACAGACAGTCATGATGAAAAAGCATCGGATGTTTATCTAGGTACCATTACTTTCCAAAGAGCCAAAAAAAGTTACAGCAAATCTGCATTTGTAGGCTTTTGCTTTCCGTTGACCTTATGCTCAGAAATCACTGAAATAATGATTTAATTCATGACTTGGCAAACACTGATATTCAGTATTTAATTTTACATTCTTTCACTGCCCATCTGCTTAAAACCTGTGGGCAAGAGAAGTGATGATTCTGATCTCTACAGGACCTAATCTTTCTATTAATGATAGCAAGCAAAAGCAAAATTTGCAGTTTAAAGCAGAAGTCTCTTCCATGTTGTTACTACAACAGACAGCAGTGTACCTTCTACTGATGGAGTTGGGCTAACATCAGACAACAGGGACTCGTTTCCTGAATCGCTTCTGACCCGCGACCTAAACATCTGCAACTGAGTTGGTTCATTACCTTCTGCAGTGGGACCATGATCAATAAAACTGCCCTGAGAGCTGGACGGGCTTTCTTCTGTGCTTTTACTAGGTAAACTTTCATAGCTGCCTGTTTTGAGTGCATCTTGTAGCATGTTGGTAAGAGTGTCAAGTTGATCCTCGACTGGGTCACGAGACGGTCTGAAATGGAAGTGAGATATTTCAAGTTAGGTGTAATGATTAGCACATTTGGTTTGTGCATAGCCTTCTGCAAGAGAGATCCTGACTTCTGTTTGTTCGCAAAAACCCTAATACGCGAGGTAGGGGGGAATGTCATCAACCATCCAAGTTAAAGTTTTTGCTTGGATTTGCTGACCAATTCTTTTTGTTTAGGGAGACTTTTTTACTAATCAAGTTGCCAGCTTCAAAATTTTAGGCACCATGGCAACTAATATGGAGGGAACTTGAAACTTGAAGATTTTTGTCTACAATGGGGAAACTGGGAATCAACACTCAAAAATAATTATAAAATTACAACTCAGTTTAACAGCTAAGAAAGCGTCGACCTAAGAAATTTCTGAAAAATGGAGACTCTAAGATAGGGGGAGATTTTGGAGGTTTATTCTAGTATAGGGTCACAACATTAAGCCACACTAGCTAGGTCTGGTAACATCTTATTGAAGGCTTCCAGGGTCTCAGTGGCACCCAAACATTCCTATATAGTACCTCCCACGGGGCTCTAATATGATAATGATAGTAATAATAGTAATTTAAGTTATAAATAGTTACATCATCCTCTCTCCTTATGAAGCTTTTCAGGGATAATAAGAATCTTAACTGGTAGGGGGTGAGCCAGTTGATCATTTTACAAGCATGGCTGAGGTTATGAATGTGGGACAACCGAAAACAAATCCAGCTCAAGCGGTCATGGGGGGACTTGAATTCTGGGTCTCCAGAATACAAGTCTAGCACTCTAACCACTCGGCCATAAAAAGGTTAACAAAGAGTACAGGTTAAAGGTTTGTTTATAGTGGAAAGTGTACCTAGCTTATCCAGCTAGAGTTTACAGGCATTCCACTCAAATAATTAGAAACAAATAATGTCATGCTGCCTCAAAGTATTTTCACTTTGTGAAAACTATAAGATAAAACACCACAATATGTCAATACCTTCTTGGGTTTAACGTTGTACCAAGTCCAGGAAGTGGAACTTTCTTTTTGTCCATCAGGGACATTCCTTCCTGATCGGATGCTGTAGTGTGTGTTGCCGAATTTTCTTTTTCACCATTATTTACCACTCTTGTTACCGTTGTTATTCTTGGGCCTCCACTGGCTTGTCGTGTTACTGTGGTTGTGCGACTATACTTGATGTTGCCACCACCACTGTGAATGGCATTAGCAGGGGGGACAAAACTGTGGTTGGGGAGGGGTGTGCTTGTTACTTGAGCACCTGTGTGGACCGCTGTAGGGCTGCTTACAGGAAGTGAGACTGGGCCATTCTGGAATGGTCGGGACTCCAGGACCTTAAGGTGTGATTTGTTTGACAAGTCACTGAAAAAAAAAAGGAATAAGGCAGATAGTACTACAGAAAGACAAGGACAAAGCTTTAGAGAGGCTGTACCACTATGATATTGCTGTTTTAGGTCTTGAAATTCTTGGCTGAAGTCATTACTAAGTACAGAAAGTGCTCGTGTACATGGTTCAAGGACTTTTCAAGGACTAACATTATTTTTTCAAGGACTTCTTTTCCCCAATAACATGAAGTAGAGACCTTTAAGTGGAGGGGGGTTCACTTATTGCAAAACCCTCCTTCATTAAGGCACGGTTCCTAAGGTACTTCAAATAACAGAAAATGAAGTATGCCGGGAAGAAAACACTTTTCCTCATGCATGGTCACCAAGAAAATTTGTGTATTGCTGTGCATTCAATCATTCCTTTGCACAAAACATTATATTTTTAACAAACATTATTTTTATTCAAGGAGCTTTCAAAAATATTCAAGGACTTCTGTGGAAAATTCAAGGAATTTTTAAGGATATCGCACAATTTTTCATTTTTCAAGGACTTTTCAAGGCCTGTGTGAACCATGCTATATAGTAAGGAAAAGGGCCGTCACAAGGGCCAGGCACTGGAGATTTCCCCTTGCTACTATGAGCATGACCACAGGCTATTTACTTGTAAATGTCCTCAAAGCAGTTTTATCCATTCAAAGATTTTTCAATCAGACTTTAAATTTGATTTAAATTTGATTGGTTGCAGCAATTAATGAATGATGGATTTATCATTCAAATAAACAATTCATCAATGGAATCCTGGGGAGTACACTTGACTTGGCTAAACTGTAAAAACGGTACAAGGGAACAGATAATTACCCAACACTGTCCAGTTCATAAAAGACTCCACAGGAATTGTCCTTGATGTAGATCGTTTTACGGTTGTCTCCACTTCTCTTAACCTTGTCTGGGAATGTTTGCGCAAACAATGTTTGTACTTGTGACATGTCTTGCAGGCCTGTTGGTAACATAGCACGTTTGATCTCATCCCCATACTGTAAATATACGACCCCTGGAAAAAAGCGATAAAAAAATTGTTAAAAAAGAGAGCTATGTTGAAAAACTGGTTGTAAATAAGACTGAGTGAATTACTTGACATCATTATCACTGCACTTGACACAGAAAAGTTGACAACTGTGTCGCTAAGTTGAGTGAATGTGAGACTGGAGTTGACACCCGTCTCGACCCCTTCCCTACTTTAATCATGGAAATGATTGCAGAAAAATGCTTGTTATAAACATTGTGATCCAGGTCAATTTTAGAAGGAATGGGACGAAGTCATCAGAGCATAACAATGTAAATATTACATACAGACATTACATTATCACAGTATCTCACTGCCAATTTGTACTAACATGCTGATTTTTGGCAAGGAGGCTTGTTTTATCTTGTTTTTTTCTGTACACTAATGAACATTAACAGTTGTTACCTGGAGTTGAGTTAGAGTGTGGTACATGGTTCTCTTCTTTTCTTGGCATTGTTGGGTAAGTCCCTGGTTTGTCCAACAACAGCTCATATCTTTGCTGTTTGGGAGATGATGGTACAGGACGTGGTGGAATAGCTGGCTGGGGAAATATCAAAAAGAAAAAATAAAAGCGATAACTCAAAGGTAAACATGCCAAGGAACAAAAGTTCTTTAAAAAAAGAGAAATTGATACAAAAGCATTCAGAGAAATCAGTTCTGAGAGATTTCACCTGAGGCAGCATGGCATCTATTACAACATACAGTAAAAGGTGACAACAACCAGAAAGTGAAGAAAACATGTTATGCTTATCAGCAAAGACTGTGAATATAGTGTTACAATAAATTATTCTGTCAACCAGAGAAGAGACAACTTAAGTAGACCTTAAATAATTATTATTTGAAGAGAACATTATGGAAAAAGCTTTGTGATCAACTCTTTTGCACTGCTGAAAGATGATTATTAATTTTCTTTTCCTAATGTCTTCAAATCAACAAATGAAAAAAATTCAAGTTAAGCATTACCCTTTTAAGTTCAAATCAACCCCAAACAGAATTTCATTGTCAAACAGCTTTTTGTCAGTAGTGAAATCTAGTCCACAGATAAATGCTCATTCAACAATCTTGAGTTAATAATAATACAACTTAAGCGAAGAACCTACCCTAATCTTATACATCTCTATTGTTACTCTATATGCCATTACAGAGAAGTCAAATAGTCAACTGTTTCAGCAGCCTTTGCAGATTTCAAATTGAAATGTAGAAATTTGCATGTCACCATCACTAACTTATACCTTCCCATGCAGTGCAGAGCTTATCACACCATGGAATGGCCCATTCAGGGCAGCTATTTACCACTGTGAAATCCATAGAAGGTGTTCACATGCAAGAGATTACTTTCATCAGTCAAAATAAAAAACTGGGGTTTAAAATATTATTAACTCCATGCAAAACGAAGACACTCTGAAGTAAAAAAGCAAGATAAGGGAGAATTATAACTTTCAAGCAGCCATTCACTAATTTGCGATCATATTCTCAAATTCTCAATTTTTAAATTTTTTTGTGGAGCTTCTTTCCTGACCCTTGGACATAAATCTCAATATGTGGTTTATATGTGAGGGCCAGTTCTTTCCTGGGGTGCTGGTTTATCTTCTCCTATTTTTTAAATTCAGTTCTGTAATAGAAAAACCTGCATTAAAAAATTTGAGATTTCTAGGTTCCACACTATTTTTAAAGAAGGGTAACCCAAATTGGCAAAAGCTAAGAATCAAGAAAAATAATACCGGTAGCCACAGTGATGTAACTTAACCTGAGAATTAAAGGGATAAATTTCATTCACAGATTTTTGTCTTATGTCAACAAATGGATCAGAAATACTGATCTCCTCTTTACAATAATAAAATTACAAGAGCAAGTTCTTAATAATAAATCACCTACTTTATTTATTAACCAGTAGTAATTGTACCTTGAACCTAAACCTAAACATTTTCTGCATTTTACTTATAACAGCTAAAATAATGTTGACAAGGCTGGGGCTACATTTCTGGGACAAGGTTAAAATTCAAGTGCAATGGTAATGATTGAGAAAACTATACTTCAAAAGAGTAAGGAAGAGAAAATGTTTGGACTTGTTTTTTAAGGCAACCTAGAGTGTACTGCATTTTAAATTCTAAGTTATAGTTTTTGTTTAGCTGTGAGCAGACAAAATTCTTCTACTGTTATATTTAATTTGACCACAAGGACTATCATAGAAAAAAAGCTCAAGCCCATCACATAAAAAACATAATGCCTTAAGTCCTAAAATCTAGCAAATATTTATTTAGCCAGCTTTAAGGAAACCCCATATAGCGGCAGAGACTGCCGCCTTCTTTCCTTCTTAAATACTGATCCTTTTTTCCAGCCACCCATGGTAAATTTGGTTAGGGTTCCAAACAATATTACTTTCTAGTAAATATGCTACCAAAACATTGAATAAAGTGAGGCTATGTTATAGCAGAGTCTTGTCTAAAAGACAAAACAATATTTTATGGTAATGAGTAAAACAGAATATTTCTGCTGCTCTCATTTTTCCAGTGGCACCAAAAATAAAAGATTCCTTTAGTTACTACAGAAAATAACTAAATTCTTACTGGTGTATCCTCTTGGATTCCATTTGGTTTTTTTTCCATCTCTCCACCAGGTTTCAATCCAAACCGTTTCTTCACCATGGAGATAATCTCCTGCCGTGACAGTGTCTGCGTAGCATGAGTGTCCTGCTCGCTGGAATGACCCTGCTCTTGTTGTGACCTCTTCGCCTTCTCCACATCGTCCCCCATATCAGACCCTCCTGTGGTTCGCCTTCTTGGCCGACGGCCATGGCCTTTTGCTTCGGAGTCACTGACAGTAGTGGCTGTGTCTAGAACAGAAAAAGGTAATATCAAACAGTGATCATCTTGCAATTTATCCGTAACATGCACTTTGACTCAAGATAGGATTATAACTCAGGCTTGAAAAAAACTGTCAAGTGAATTATGACAAATGCACAGAGACCAAAGTCTAGGGAGCTATTGTAGATTGATGTAAAACTAAGAGTTTTTTTGTCCTCTTCTCGCAGTAACAATGGCAAAGCTATTTCTGAGGATGCCATGTGATGTGACATGTTTGATGCTTGATTCTTGAAAGCTTCTAAATAATACAAGTACTGAACAATAAAGAAACAGTTTTAATTGAAGTGATTAAAACTGCAAAAAAAATTATGATTCATTATTATTTCTTGTGATATTGTCTAGTAACCAATTAAGGAAAATTTGTTTTAAAATTATTTTTCACTAGGATGCTTTTAAACCTTTCATTTCAGGAAAGCAAACAAAAATCAATCAGACAGTGTGGCTATCATTAAATGTTTTGCTATCTATTTTGATCTTGTCAGAGTATTCGTTCAGTGTTAAATCTGAAAGTCAGTAAGTTGAGGAATGCTGCCCTCTTTAGAGACTGGAAATGTATACTGTGTTAATAGTTAATAAATAAAAAGTCAGAATTGGGAACAGTCTTACTATTACAACAAGTTTGAGGTCATTTATTATTGATTAAAACCTCATGCTTTCTTTTTTTCAAATGTTTAAAATCAATATAAAATGACTGATGGCATAAGGCATTAGCATTCTTTTAAATATTTTATGTCCAAACAACTTTTAATCTTAATCAGAAACATAAGCACAATGTATTTTTTTTCATTTTTTTTTTTATGAAAAAAAATTGAAAGCCTCTGAGCTGAAACTTCTCTCCATTGACTGAAGTCTCATTTTTGTCTCTTTCACCCAAAAAATGATGTGAAAGCATTCAACATCCTGTAACGAACATTTACATGTCCTTAAAAGTTTTTGTGGCTAAAATTCTAAGTGGGTGAAAAAAAAGAGAACTGCTGACCAAGATGTAATCGTTTAAGATATGTTTCCAAGATCAAGTTTTCACTTGGTAAAGAAAACATTCCAAGGCATATTACCACAGATTATTGCTTAGTGCAAAAATCAGGGGGTTACTCTTGGCAACTTCACATGAGACGTCTTGATAATTTATCAAAATAAAACTAAAAAAGATGAAAAGGATACCATTGGCTTCCTTGATGGTGAAAATATTCAGGAAAATTAAATGAATTTGAGAACAAAATTCTATAACTCATATTAACAAAATAGATGATGAGACTCTATGGCAGGAAGTAGCTTCACTCTTGGTATTAATAAATTTTTACAATGTGTGAGAATTTTTTATATTACTGTATTTTTATTTTTTTTTTACTACGGTATTTTTTTAAAACTTTTTTATCAGTGTTAAGCTCATTTGAGTACCTTTTAAATTTGTGCTGAAAGTATTTTAGTTCAGATTATTTAAACAACAAAGATACATATCCATGGTAGTACAAGCCCTTAAATTATTGTTCACACCAAAAGTAATTTTCCCTTCCTCAGCCAATTCAAAAAGTGATACTACTGTCATGTTATCCCTGATTTTTACAATTTTCCCAGGAGGTTTAAACAACAATAGATTCTACTAAATAAAAAACCTTAGACAGTCATTCAGCCATTATTTAATTCTCTTTGAAAACGTCTTAAGCAAAATAATATTCACAAAAAATAAAACAATATCAATAACATGTAATAACTTTCTAATGAATTACTGATCATCATCACCAAGTTGAGTGATCATTTTTCTGATCAGGGCTGTCACTAAGAGGCAGGGGCAGGGGATTTCCCCCGGCTACCATAAACGTGGCCCTCGGCTACTTTCATACGAAAACGGAAGAAAAATACAACCAAAAGAAATCCCTAGCTGTTTGATTCACTACCTACTCGTTGTATTTACCCCGCAACTTGAAAACAACCCCGCAACTTGAAATCTTGGTGACAGCCCTGAATGATGATTTGATTTTCCTTTCCTTGTTACACCTTAATACGGGAATCATCAATATTACCACTCAGTAACTGAATTAAACAGACACGGTGATTTTCCTCCACGATTTTCTGCAAAATGGTCCTTTATACAAACGATGGTCCCACCAGTGAGGTTTGATAAGTAGGTTATCAAAAAAATTAACTGCCAATTAGGTATCCAAACAACAGGTTTAAGAAACTGACAATAACATTAGAGACACAAGGCTATCAGTGCTGCTATCAGTGTTAAAAGTGATGCATGTAGTTGATTTCTTTTCAACGCAGTACATTATAGGAATAATTACATAAACTGGTGAAAAAGTTGTTAACCTTTACCCCTCTTAAATGCGGTCTACACAGGAAGTCTGAATGCATTTAACCTAAAGTCAAAAATTTTAATATGGAGAATCACCTTATCGTGAATATTATTAATAATTAGTCACTAATAATGGTTATTACTCAAATGGTAGTAGCTGAGAAGCCCTCAATTTTGCTTCTAAAATTAACTCCTAAATATCATGTCAAAACACATTTAGAAAGTACTCTCAAAAAGGTTTCAGTTGGATAATTGTGATCAGATCATAGGATTTCAAGAACTGACTGAAAAACTGGAACAAAATTTTTTATATCTCATCACTGATTCTAGGGGTGAAATGGTGAGTTATGACATGACATGTGGCCACCGTAGTAACCTTATGATTAGTTTAACAAATGATTGGGAAGGACGGTTTCTTTTTTTAACTCGCCTTGTTTTGTTATGCAGAACATTTGTCCCACTAGAGTTGAAATATATATGTACATCCTGTAGTAGTTCTTATCTTTCTTTAACAAAATTACCACACCACTAACAGAAGGAATGTGAGATAAGAAGAACAGGAAAAAGGAACAGCCATGAGGATTAGAGCAGAAAGCAAACAACTTCCTAATTACCCACTGTCAATTCATTCACGTACCATTGGTCTTCAATTTCATGTTTTTTGTAAATAATAATCCTCGCAAAATTTAATACCCATAGAGAAATTTCAAATCCGAGGGAAAAGATGATTAATTTAAAAAAAACAACATATACTTAATACAAGATATGTATCGACAACTACCAACATAGTATTAACTGATTTTACTTTAAACTCTATTCTATATCTTCTGTTGTGAAATATCATTAAATTCAGTGCAAAGATTTCACATATCAAGTAAGGAATTTAGCTATCACGTTCATCTGAATCACTTGATTTGCACAAAAAAAAATTAAATGCATTTTGCTTGTTCCAGTTTATCCACAAAACTTTAAAAGCAAAACACTTAACCTGCAAAATTTAATGCCCTCTTTCACTTTTTCTATATTTAAATTAAATTGAGAAAATAAAACCCTGTGAAATACTGTATCGCCAAAATCGTGAATATAAGTACACACGAAATTAAGTAGCAATGAGGTAACTAATCAAAATTAGTACACATTTTTGTCACAATGTCCCATAAGGCAACATGACCACTGATAACAAAAATTAATTCCACAAATTTAATAATAAGACGTTCCTACAGAAATTGTGAAGGTTGTACGATTGATCCACCCTATACAATTGATCTGGGTGGCCAGAGGCAAAGCAGGAATTAACTGTTTTATCAGCAGTGTACACTTTAAGTGGTTAGGGTCTCAACTTCTGACTTCTTCAGAGTAGTAGCTGGCACATGGCTCATAAATGATTACACACTATGAAAAGATGATAATAAAATTAAAATACATGGGGTGTCATAGGGGTCATCCATAGTTCCAGACAACATGGAATTTGAAGAGAAATGTGTACATTCTTTTTTGGAAAATCAGAATCTGCAAGGCATGCCCCTTTTTTTCACCCTCTTCTGGTGAGGAAATCTGGGGGCTGCCCCTGAAAATATTTAATTTTTGGCCCTGAAAAGAACATTTCAGGGAATTTGGCATAATCTGAAAAAGCCACCAGGGTGGCAAGTAGATTTCATATAATGTATGTTTGTTTTTTAATGTTTCAAAAGAGTTGAGAAACAAATGCAGTGTAAAAGAATTATTCTCTGTTAGTTGCCAGCACTTCTGTGACAACTAGACAGTGAGTTCTGCCTGTCACTGGAATTTCTGGAGAACCTTGAAATGATCACATTTCTAACAGAAGCGTAGAAAGAAATAACTACCACAAATTTTCTGCATAAGTAGCTTTGGTTGCTTTTATGGTGCCAGGGCTTCTTTTTACAGATACTAGAATTTATGAATGCTTTGAAGGCTGAATACACATTGATCAAGCCTTAGTTTTTTTAGTGTGATAAGGAAGTTCATTATATATCCTCTGAAAGATCACCAAAATATAACCTAGAAATCCCAAATACAAGAGCTGTTTTTAGCCAAATTAATTGATCCAGAAAACCCAACCTGCCCACTCAAAGTGAAATAAAAAATTTTCATAATATTAACTAAATGTGAATTGATAAATACAGTAATACTATTGGCAGTAACTCATTGTACATGATAATTCATTTAATGCTTGCTGTATGAAAATTGCCATGGAAAAAGGACACGCCATTGCCATGGTTAGGGTTCAACACAGCACCTAACTTCCTATTTATATTCAGGAATGGCTGTGCAGTTCAAACTATGAGCCTGAGTGTTTATTGCCATCTTAATACCATAAAAAGTTTAACATCATAACAAGATAACATTTACACAAACACTCCTAAATAAAGTCAATCAGGCTAAAGTAGTCAGGTGCACCACCAGATACAAGAACCCAAAAACTCAACAAGAAAAAGATTGGGTTGGGTATCCCCCAACAAAATTAATGCAGTCACACAAACCTCTGCTGCTTAGAGGTAAAAAATAAATAACATAAAACAAGATAAGATAAAGATAATAAGATAAAAAGTTGAAAGTGAAAGAGCTGAGATGAATACATTACAACTGTCAAAACCTTATATATACCTAACAACAATAGCGTCAATTAACACCATAATGGCTCCTGAATGCGCATTCATACCATTAGGAAATTATTTGCATTTTCTGTCACTGCTAATACTTTTAGCTTGGCCGAATGTAAAATTAATACATTTTCATGTATTTTCTTACATTTTAGTTGCTCCTATTTTTAGCAATCTAACTATCAGAATAAAACTAATGTAATGAGTCAAGTGACAGGTTCATGGTTGCTAATAACCTGGTGGTTTATCATTTTCAAAAAATTTCCTGAAATTCCAGTTAGAAAGTAAATAGAACAAGACTTTTCAGGTCGTAACAGTGGAAAAGTCTCCAGAAGTAACAGAGTGTCACTGTCTGAGAAGTTAGTCCTGTTTTGCTGGTCAGAACATTCTTCACAGAAATTCATGTTCCATTTCTTCAAACCCATCTTTGACTCCTGTTTCAGGCTTTCATGGTCAATTCAGAGCAACTATGACTGGTTTGTGGAAGTGGTAAAAAGTGATTCCTGAGCGAAATTTACCAATACTGAGTTTTGGTTACCAGTTTGCCCATTAAAAAAAATCAAAATAGGTCTAAAAATTGGCAAAAAAGGGTGCAGTGATGGCAAAAAACTAACAAAATGCAGCAGAGCAATGGTTTCCATGGCAATAATTGTCAAGTTTACCCAAAATAGAGAGAAACTTAGCCTCTGCTGATATCCTTTAGGATTGCAGATCATCTTTCTGTTCTTAAAATGTCTAAATTAAGCCTAGTGGCTGAAGTAACTCTACACACAATAGTTATCATGGCCCTTCTTTGCCTAAGAATACATCTGCTGCCTCTTGTCACTTCTAGATGGAAAAGCATGGACAAACTGAAAAAAATGAACTCTTATCTCCATACAAAGCCCTATGGTTAGGAATGATGACAGAGGCTAAAATGCTTACTAACCACAAAACACTAAAACAACCAAACAAGCTGGAAAAGATCAGAGACAATTTATAAACACACTGAGGTCTGTGTGTCACAACATTATAAACATCTCTTGAGCCAAAAAAAGCCACAGATGATTGTTCTTAAATATCACATACTAAGCAAAGTTGACAGATGTCATCAGTCCTTCCAATTCTGAGATAGTTTTGAAAGGGTCACAGACCTATACACTATTATGATGGTTGTGATCAAGGCTTTCATCTTGAAATACGTGACAGAAAACAATGCTTGGAAATTGCTTAGAGCACTAAGAAAATTCATTGATCTATGCAAGGACAATAACCAAGTTCTTGGAACATTGCTCTTCAGTTTCTTCATATTCACCTTCATATATTTACACAAATTGCTTGAAATGCAAAAAAAAACAACAACAACAAGTATGATATAACCGGGAAGACGTTGGTATAATATAACAAAATAAACAGATTCGATTTTCAATCAAGGATGAGAAAAAATTAAAATTAAGATTTGTGGCTACTTATGTGTATACCTCAGACAAAAAATCACATGAAGAATCAGTCCTTTTCCGTGTCTACTTTGCAGTATATTGCAACCACAAAAAAGTGGAATTTTAAATTCCACTTTTTGAGAATTCTGGAAATGACCTCAATCAAATTTGTTTCAATAAAGAGAGAAACCTTAACTTACTGGTAAGACGTGATAAAAAATTTTGTGAAAAATTAATACATGCTAACCCATTGTTTTATAAAGAAAGACAAAATCAGTGCTTTGGAAATATAAAGAAAGCGTATGCTCCCCTGTGGCGATAGTTGTTTTTACTTGTACAAGATTTCTATCGTTTTCTGACAAAAGAAGGTGCCTAAATTCAATTATGAGTTGAAACAAACATGAAACTTGCAACCTAATGCACGCGGTTTGTTCCAAACAGGTAAACTACCTTTACCATTGACTCGTGGGTGTAAAAAAGCTAGCAAAAAGATCATAAATCAGTCTACATCTGTCCACACTTTAGAACCACTAAAGTCCCGAGAGAATCATATTTGCACTTCCTTCTCCAACAGCGATTGCAGCCCAGACAAGAATCAAGAATGAAACATATAATTATCAGGATAAAATTCAAAGAATTTGCAATTAAGTTGGTTATCGAATTGAATTCGCTTCATCGAGTGACTAAGGACCCAAAACGAAAAATTTCTAACCACAATAGTGATCCAAATGTAAGTCACACTTCGCCACAGCGCTTTCAACAATCAACCACGTATCGATATGATTCCGTCAAATTCTCTTTTCCAAAAACCTGTCTTCTCGAAGCGGCTGGTTTATAAAAAGACTTTGAATAACATCTATGTAAAAACAACTAGCCTCCCAAAATTTTCAAAACAAAACAACAGCCATAAGAAATTGAAAAGACTTGAACACGATGTGTGCGTGAAATTTACATCAATGGCGGCCTCATCAACGGCACGACAATACAAAAATCAAGGTATTGATCGAACGCAACTGCATATTCTGAACGAGAATTGTTTTGTATTCCTTAAATATGCAAATATAAAAGCTGATGGTTTTTTACAGGCGAAATATAATGTTACTTTTCGGATTATATTGCAATCAAAATCTATTGACAAAATATTTGTAAGCTTAAGTCTTATGTTGAAATGCGAAGAATGGTCTGGGTAAAGCGATTTCATGCGATAACGTAATTTGGAAAGTTTTGAGGTAGAACGTACTTATACAGTAAATACGCTTTAGCTTTAGTCTAGCCATGAGTAAATAAAACCTTATTCCAATGAAACAGCAATTTTCAACGTTAGATTTTGGTGACCATTGTGTTGAAAGGAGGACTTAGATTAAAGAGACCATACTCATGGTTAAACAACTGCCAAACTACTACAGGTAGAAACGAATCTTTTACGCATCTCAACTATTGAAATCGAAAACTAAGCTATATCAAGTTTGACCTCAGAAACATCAAATAAACAACGCCATCCACAAAAATATAAGCTTAATATATCCCGCTTAGGAAGCTTTATGAAATATTTCATGAACATGCAAGATTACACTTGTATTTTTTGACGTTTTTATGAGCTTAAGACATCGAAAATTGATAATCGAACACTTTTAATTGCATCCTTATGAACAGAGAGCGAAATTGGAACGATCTTTTTGGCGCGAGAATCATACCACTGAATATTACTTACAGAACACCACTAGCGTGAGTTACTCAACATAAACAGCTGCCACCAAACGTCGTTTCCTCGTTCACTTAAAAATAATTACGTGAGATGAAGTTCGATGCATGTCACTTACATTTTTGCCTTTTAGTGTAGCGTACAAGGAACGTCTGGCTATCTCCCATCACTTGAGAACGTCCACATCACCCCGGCGTCTTTTGGGCAGCCATTTTCAAAACTAATGGGTCGCGCGGGCTATCAACCGCCGCGCAATGAGAGAACTGAGAATTGTGTTACAGCACTGGACACACGCTTGGCTGCAATATTTATGCACGGCTCATGTGGTCAAACAAATCAATCTATGCAACGAACAATTTAAACCAAACTTGCCTAGTGGCCTGGTATTGTCTTCGTGATATCTTAATCTGATAAAAAAAACTCTCGCGGCAGTAGTTGCCGTGGAACAAAAACATGCATTTTGGATGCGCAGAAATAAACATGAAATTGACAACTCGTCCAAGGCGTTAAATATTAAAGCCAATTAACGGGTATTATTTATATCACCTAGGGTATTGCTGATCACGTCAAAAAGACCAGCGCAAGTCCTATATAAAAGACGAACATTAAAATTATGGTGCTTTCGCTTACGAGCCGCTACATTTGCACTGAAGTAACAATTCTTGACCTCCGATGGGTCACTAAGGTGACGCTTTTTAACGCAAGACAAACGACATTGTGGCTTCTGTACCGCAAAACTAAATTTTCAAGAGGGAGGAAAAAGATTTACGTGCTTGCATTGTTTAATCTGTTCTGTGAAAACACTGGACCAACAAAGGACGTTGGAAGATACTGACGATAGCATTGTTCTCTTGCACCTCCTCCAAGCACAGTTTTATTCTTTCGTGTTTACGGTATCTTTAGATCTGTTTAGCTCCGTGGTCACTGAACTCAAGAAGCTTATAAGCTTTTAATAACAGTTAAGCCACGCTGCACTCGAAAAAAAAACTTCACTCGCTATGCTTGGCTACGCAAAACGCGCGCGATTTACTTTGCACGCGCGGATCTGCTCTTTACATGACAGATAAAACTCTGCAGAGAAATTGTTTGGTTAGGAGAAAAACCTCGAGTATTAGCCACTCGATTTATGACAGTTGAACATTTTAAGAGAAGGGGACAGATACGTTTGCCACGAAAAACAGATATATTTTGTTTGGTACGCAATTCATTAACTCGGTGTCACACTCTTTGTTCAAATTGACCGCATTCCAGTGATCTTGCCAGACAAGTCACATTGATGAATAACTTTTATTATAAATTTAGTACGTGACGAGAAAATCGAACGGAATATTTTTGGATTTAGAAACCAAATCTGAAAATCTAAAATAATATAGACAAAGACCCAATGCTCCAAAAGGCGACGATTTTTATTGCCTAGGGCGTTCTCATTTTCTATCATTAAACATCCGTTGTGAACTAAAATACGAATGGTTCAAGAGAAACAGAACTGAACCACAACAATTAACATTATTATAAACTGTAACGCTTGAAAAGAGCTAAACTGGAGTTTAAATAGTAATGTGACTCGGAATATCTTCTCATTGATTCTGGGCAAGGGTAGGAAAAAGAAAGATTTTAAAAATTCTTAAGCGTAAGCTCAGTTGTAAACTTCCCATTTCAAAGCTGCCAAACCTACCGTCTCTGGCGTCCTTCGTCGGATTCCATTTCTGTTTTTCTCTGCCTGAAAATGAGCGAGCTCTTTTAACTTTCACTCCACCAAACAGCTTTCCCCTGAGTCCTAGAGAAGAACAATTGGTTTGAGTATAAGTTGAGACCCAAACATACCACTGAGATGAAAACAGAGGCACGCTTTAACTCAACGGGATCTGCTTTCTTCGCGACAATTAGGAAAGTTTCAAAGGAAGAGAAACATTAGAATGGTGAGCATCTGTTTGTACCTGAGCTCATTTTTGTCGGCTTGAGCTCAAAAGGCCAGTGTAATTGCAGTTGAGTAAACTAAGCCACATCAATGATGAGCTCCAATTAGTGCTGATGCCGCATCACGCGCGAAAAAATAGAGCTGGGCGAAACGAACACGCAAAACGCTCACTACGTACAGCGCTGAGTGACACTGAATCAAAGATTTCAAAACAATTCCGACACGCTTCGACAGAAGTTGAAGAAAAGCATCCACATAATGCCGAAGCTGATTGGTTTAAAGAAATAAATTGTTCTACGAGACTACGACGGAAAAAACTGTGACAGGTTTGACAGTGTAATTGAGCGCCGGCAGACATTTCAAAGTGATATCAGTATATCTCGCATTTGCGGCTCGGTGGATATTTTCTTAAAAGCTGCGGTTGAAGAAAAAAAACTCAAACACAAGAGTCAGGCTTTTGTCTAAGAGGAGTTTTTCATTTGATCCATTTAACAGATCTCTCTATCTTAATTTTAAGGACACTAAATTTATGACCCACTTGCGCCCGGCCAGGTACGTACAACCGCCTTGGGGTTAAGACGTAAAAGCGAGAGCTTTGATGGATGAAATGATTTAGTGACTGGCCATATAAATAGTACATCAGTCACACAAATAAAAACACTCTACCAAATTCACCCTCTTTTTTCTCTCTCTATCGAAAGATTAAATTGGGATTTAGATTAGAAGCGGTCAAGAACCAGCATGGCCGTAATCTCATGTCCATAAAAAAGAGTTATCTTTTCGCGTGCGTATACCAAAAAAAATATTGTTTTTTTACTATATAAGGAACTTTCCGCTCTCTGATAACTTCACGGGAAACATTAAAAGGAAACGTATCAACTTTCTGGGCGTAGTCTGTTTTAATTCAAAGCGAACCCTATTGCAGTATTTTAGCTGTTGCCCACGCAAACATGGCATGACCTTGAATTGTTACGAGCGCTGCAGTGCAAACACAAACTTACAAGAAAAACATCTAAATTAACAACAACAACACAATCTTTCTTCTTGAAATTAGAGAATGCTAATCAAGTTTTGCCAGTTCTGGCTTGATGCACTTGTCAGGCCGATTGAGTTATAATTGACTTCTATGAGAGCTACAACAAACACACTCTTTCCTTCCGTCATATTTAATTGCGTGGTTTTCGATCTTGGGTCGATCTTTCACCACAAACATAAGGTCACTTTTGACACAAATCTCCACTTCAACAATTTTTGGGAGACAAAGCACTTTTGAAAACCATGTATTAAACTAAACAATAACTTGCTTGAAAGCTCTTTCTAAAGCAGACGTACAAAATGCATTTAAAAATTCATTTAATACGAGAGAAGTTGTACTTTTAAAGTTTTTGGCCCGAAGCTATAGCCAACTTAAATTAATATAGTTAACGCATAAAAGACTGAAAGTTCTTTAATAATGACTCTTCAATTATATTTTTTGAAACAATTAACTTTTGTTGACAAACTCCTGCTGACACTAAAATCCGACACGATTTTGTTTCCCATTCACAACATTTTATAAAGTACCCCGAAAAGTTTGCTAAAAAGCACCGGGTTAAGAATGAGCACTGCACTTTGTCCATCGCAACTAAATACAAACCAAACAAATCTCGAAGCCCAAACAAGAGTCGGGGGGTAAAAAGAATAAGGAAGTAAAAAACGCGGGAAAACATGTCACAGGTGCGTGGCAAAGGCGGGAACATACAGAGTCACCAGTGAAAAACCCAAAAAAACCGTCAAAACGCTGTAAATATATATCAGTGATGGAAAACGAGGGAACTATGTCACTGGTGGCTGGTAAACATGTCCTTAGAAGCAAACACCAGGAAAAATAGATCACTGATCAGCTGTTGGCCAAACGTAAACTCAGTGGTTACACTGGTTATCGCGGGAGAATTCACGTCACTAGTAGAAAACGCGGGAAACATGATTACAGCGCGCGGGAAAAGATTTCGTGGAAAGAACTAGTACTGTGTCCTGTGTACGTAAAAAACTACAGTTGTGATAGAGACCAGTTTTATTGACCAGTTTATTAAGTCAATGGAAGGCTAACGCATTCACACGTTTAACTGCTGTGCCGGTAACACAAAGCGGACGAAAATAACGTGACGACCGAAAGGTGATTTCATGGTTTTGCTTTGCATGTACCCATTACCAAAAAGGTTTCACTAAGATTGGTTTAAAAACAACTCTACAATACGAAAGCAGTCCTAAAAAACCATTGCTTAAAATGATGCCATGCAAATGATAGAAGCATTTTCTTTTGTTCGACCAAGGCTGAAAACAAACAAACAACAAAATAACAAGCAAACAAGAAATTCTACTGTCTGCGACTCGGCGCACCTGCTTTTTTGCTGTAGTTGGTTATCGCAGCTTTTTTTATAGGGTGCTGGTGGATTCATTTACAGTCTTTGCGTATAGCTATATGAGACAGCTCGAGCTTATCCGCCTAAACGCCTGTGCTGAGGCAATTTAAATGAATCCGCCTTAAATGTAGACTACGAGTAATCCCCATTTTTCCTCAGGGATGGTAGAGCGAGCGAAACGCGAGCGCTCGTGAAAATAATCTCACGCCTTTCTCGCGTGGGGTGATTTCACGCGCGCTCGCTTTTCCTCGCTCTACTATCCCTGGGGGAACATGGGGATTACTCGTAGTCTACCTTAAATGTTGCAGTACTTTTTTGACATGCTGCTTCGATTATTTCGTAGACGGTAGACAAAACTGAACTTCAATCTGACTGGCGTATTTTTATTTTCCTGATGACGTGATAACTGCCTCCATTGTCAACACTTAATTTGAGTTATTTAAAAATCTCATTCTTCCTAAAGGTAGAGACGTTTATTTATGGAAACAAAAGAGGAAAGAGTCACTCGACAAGAAGGACTCCTCCACAATCATAAACAAGAGATACCTGTCGAAACTTTGTGTCATCGCACCTTCGGCGAAAGAGAATCCTTTCGTATATATATACTAGCTCCAGTAGGATTAGTAATGCAGGTATCAATGTTTGGACGGAGGGGGTGGGGAGGGGGGATAAGAGTCTAGGTGCGGCTTTTGAATTTTGTGCTCAAATTCCCGACCCTTGGGACTGGAAAATGGTTTTCTGGGGATAACAAAACCGTGTACAAAACACTGTACAACAAACTGTATACCCTAAGTTCACGGCGCACAACGTACAAGCAAAACTCAAAGCAAACTGGGGGTCATGAGTAGCGAAACTACTGCGAGGAAATAATGACTCTGATTGGTTAAAGAGGTAACATAGTTTTTTGCCAATCATAGCTTAAGTGTTAAACTTGTAAAAGCGCGGGAAAGTATGTGACGGATGCCAAGTGCGGAAAAATGGGTTACGGTCTGATTAGCCAAGGGCTGATATCTTATTTGTGGTTCAGTGGTCCGACATGTGACTTTTCAGACAACCATTCGGCACCAAATTTTCTACGGAAGGCAATTTTTGCAAATTTTACGCGAGGACTTTATGCACGCGAAAATTACGTGCTTTACTGAAAATTGGGGAAGCTAACACAAAAAAAGTAAAATTTCAGTCCTTTCTGTTTTCAATACGGAATTTCAGTTTAACTATACTGAACAACATAACGACCTGTCATTTGAATTTAAAACTTGAATAGATAGATGACGAACAGTTTTTACAGTCCCGAAGATTAATTTGATAGCGTGAACATTTTCTACACAAGGAGGCTACTGTATTTCCTACCAAAAGAAAATGAACAAAAAAACCCCGGTTCATTCAAGTGAAGTACTAGAGGATATTGGACAGGATCTGATATTAACCAATATCCGCGATAAATTGTTATTTAGCATCAAACTCTTTTACTCTTGGGACAGGATACGACAAGTTTGAAATCTGTATTTAAATTCACGGAAAACGACATTCATGGTCTCAGCGAAAATCAAACAATAGGTCCATCTTTCGCGAAATTAAACTCCTATGAAAATTTAGTACGCGATAAGGTAAGGACCGGCAAGCATTTAGCCTGCGAGCAGGTTAGTACAGGGAAAATTTTGTGGCTCCGCCGCCAAATCATCCTCACAGGCTAGTAGGCATTGTCGGGAAGAACTGTCCCGTGTCACAAGAAAGGTGAATGGACAACTGCATGATCCATTAGATACTGCTGTGTAATCATCTCTGTCATAGGGTAAAATAAATTATGGTACTTAGAAAAGTGCCCAAGGCAGCAGTTTGACGCTAAAAAGCAAAAATAGCGGAACAAAAATATGCACTCTAGGCAATTTATCATCGACAACTTTAAGTTTGACAAGAATGGCCCGGGATAAACTGGCTCGTGTCACAAGAAAGTTGAATGGACAACTGATCCATTAGCTACTGCTGTGTATTCATCTCTGTCATGATAAAATGAATTATGGTACTTAGAAAAGTGCCCAAGACAGGTATAAGCAGTTTGATGCACAAAAGCAAGGATAGCGGAACAAAAATATGCACTATTGGTAATTTATCGCCGACAACTAAGTTTGACAGGAATGACAAAGTATGCCATGCGGCACGAAAGAAAAGTATGTAGATGTTGAATTGAATAGGTTTATTTTCTCGCCCCAGTTTGTTTAACTTGTATACTAATGAAACAAACGTAAACAAAAGAATTGGGGAGCAAAAATAGAGAAAAAGTCACTTAATATACCGCACAGTTGACAGCACCGGCGGACGAGGAAACTTATTTAACTCGTGGTTTTTTCGTATTAAAGTTTTATTACAATAATTCACTGAAATGAAACAAAAAGCTTCTTTCATAAATTAACACTAACATTCCCAAAACTGTGTCAGACTCAGAACTTATAAACCTGTCGCCTTCTTCGACAGTCACTCTTCCGATCTGTGTACATGAAATCACGTATCAAAAACT